CAGAGAAAAATTGTCCTTTGATATATAAGAGTTGTGTCAATTCCAAAGAGGCCTCAGGGAGTCTGCAGCCTTTATGTGCCCTGATTCTTTACAGAAGTATTGATGTAAGTAGAAAGAAAAATAATAAGTAAAGTGTCAATTTGACAGTTTGTGAGGCTCTGCAGGAACTGAGAGCAGCACTTTCAAAATGGCTTTCAGAAACTGAAATTTTCTTTTCAACAAGGCAGAGTTAACATCTCATCAAAGCCTGCTCTGATGGGTGCTTACAGAGCTTATAGAGCACAGTAATGGTTACAAATCCAAAGTCTCTTCTGTAGTTTCTGGGCAAAGGGGGCCATTGAAAGGGCACAGGGAAACTCCTGCCAGCCTCTGTAGTCAGTGTAGTCAGAGACCAAGCATCCCTAAAGCTGCCTTTGTAAATGTCCTGCTCAATTTTTAGGCTTAAAGACAAGTAAAGGTTGACATCACCTGAAAAATCCAGAATTGTTGCAGTTCCTAATATCTGTTGATTTCAATACCTTTCATAGACTTTGGATATTTTAAAAACTCAAACAGGTACTATTCAGCCTCTCCTATACACCTTTACAGCTCTGGTTCAAGGCCATGTGTAAAAACTCCAGTTCAGCCTTTTAAGGCACTTGGGTCTTTGAACATTTTCTCTAAGCCCAGCTCCAGGTGGTAGCCCTGCCCTTCCAGAGGTTTTTGTGTGGATCTAGGGAGGGAACAGAAGGTCTTGAATGGCAGAGTCTGGAGCACTGTGGAAAGGAAGGTCAAGGAGAGGCCATTTGCTGGAATAAGCTCCATGTGAAGCAGCTCAGCATCTTTGTTAATTGGCACCCAGATCAGTTAGGAGAGTGTGGCTGCAAAAAAATGAGAGTTTCAGCTTCAGTGTGTTTCTAACGCCACCACATTAAGAAGAAATCTCATGTTATGCCATGTTCCCCTCTCAGACACTGAGTGTCTCAGCACCATCAGAGCCAATTGCAAGGACCTGCTCTCAGCCACTTTAATTAGAAACTGAAGTGCTCCCAGAGGAAGATTTGTTATGAGCTAAATCACCTTTCAGAAAGAGCTATTCTTCTCCACTCCCCACAGGAGTCCAGACATCTTGTGGCTCCCTCAGCCATGGAAAGTTGGATGTGCTTTGCTGCAAGCAGTACTCAGACCCTGAAATTTTTAATTTTCTTTTCCCGGACCATTTTGTCTTCAAGAGCACTGCATGCATTGGCATCCTTTCCTAGAAAAACACAGTATTTAACTGCAGTGCCTGATGAGTTTGATCACTAGCTGTCTCAATAAAGTATGCAAATACAGAGTCATTTCAATCCAAAGCACCTTTGAAGAAAAATGGAAAGATAAATGCAATCAAGTCACAATTACTTTTATTAAGCGAGCACATTACACAGGCTCAATAAATATGCTTAGTTCTAAATCTGGCTGCACATAGCTGAAAAGCAGAATAGAACAAAGTGTTGAGTACAGTCGTGACATTGCAGTTGGACTCAGTTTCCAAGAGCTTCAGCTGATGCATGCATTGCTCTTTGCTTCTCTTGTCATGATTTAGTGCTCAGGTCAAGCATAATTATAACTTTTTTTTTTTCAGAAGGGGATTTGACAGCTGAGCATATCTAATTAAATTATTCAAAGTTAAAAGTGTAATTTTTTATTCATCTCTACTTCTCTATAAAGGTGATAAAGAGTGATAGCTGAGATATTGATCTTCTCTGCTGATGAGCAAGGGGGTGGGGGGGGTCATAATTCATCTGAGGTGAAGCCCTCTGGGTGATGTGCCCTTAGCTGCAGGAGTGGAGATCAGCTCTGTGCTGTAGGGACATCCCTGCAGAACATTTATGGCAAGATAAATATTGGATAGTCATTATCTTTGTGAGGAGCAGGTGTTCTTTCCTGTTTCCTCGTTTTCTGATGCAATTTTTATCATCAGAAACTGTGAATGAAACCACTGTTCTCTCTGAATTGAAGAAAGTGAAATGAAGGTCCTTTTTTTCTGGCATATTTCTGGCACATACAACAAGCAGGTGTGAATTAGCTCTAAGCCAGACTCCAACCTCTTTTTAGGCAAAAATCTTAACTAGGCCAACAGTAATATTTTATGGGTTCATGTTTACTTTGGGTGTGATTATAAGGCTGCCTGTCCCATCTATCTGGGTTGTCCTTTACAGGTAATAACATAACTGAAAAGTTTTTCTAACAAAAAAAACAAAAACAAAAACAAAAACAAAAACAAAGTAAAGTATCAAGAACTGTACTTCTACATCAGGAAAATATCTAATAGATTTCTTTCTGTTGGAAATTATAGATATTTCTGTTTTGCTTCCAGCACTGACACTTAAATATAACAACAAATAATAAGGTTGCCAAATGTTACCATACATGGGTTTTGAATATCAAAAAAGCCCAGTGGAATTCCTCCAGCTTGAAACAGCTAATAAAATTAACTCTCCTAAAATATTCAGGCTTGTGCAATCCTGCTGCACTCATGGCTGGTTACTGAGCACCTACCTGGGCTGGACTGCTTTCCCCTTGATCCCAGCAATGATGGCTTAAATCATCACCAGCTCATCCTTTCAAGTTTCTTAACATTTTAATAGATTTAATTCAACACTTATGAACTCCCAAGGCTGTAAATTTTTAAATTGCTTTCTGGTTCTATAACTCCCCACTTAACAAATTCACAGCTCAGAAGTGTTTCTTTGCATGTGTAGTCCTTGCTTAAACTCAGCAAGGTTTCACTGTGTGTTTAAAATGTAAATGCTGTCCTGAACAGCTAAGAACAGGAGGTCCAGTTTAGAAAAGCATTTGTGTATATGGTCAAACACTTCTTTTTAACCACATGTTACTCATCCTGGCCTCGCTGGAACTGCTTCTGAGATGCAAGCTAACTGCAGAGGAAAATACATGTGTGTGTGCATATATGTTTCCAAAATTTGAAATCCAGTGATCAATGAAACTTAGAGTGTTGACTTCAAAGGGCCCCAAATTTACCGCATGCATTTTTTGGCTTTAGAGAACTCTATATCCCTGTCAGATATGTTAATTGCATACTTTATTTATTTGGTTGTTATTTTTTTTTTTCTCTTATAGTAAATTTCATATAGTCTAGGGAGTTAATTCACTTAACCATATTTCCTTCATTATTTTTGTATCCTTCATCTCTGTGTGCTTCTTCAACTTCAAAACATAGTGGAAGGAAATAGTTTTAAGAGTCATACAGCACTTTATCTATCAGTGGAGCCTGGGATGATATGTTCAGTTCCTACTTGCTTTTATTAAGAAGTTACAGTGACACATCAGAGCCTGGGGGGAGATGTTCTCGATTATGAGCTGCTGTTTCAGCTTTGTGTGGTCACAAAATTGGTTTATTAGGATTTGTTTAAATTTTAATGTAACTCTTAAAAAATTGCTGCAAAATTTGTTTGAAACTCTTCAGTCCAGATCAGCACAAAAGTGATGAATTAAAAGGATAGATACATAAGTATATATTTGTTCCAGATGAACAGCTACCTTGAGAATTTTGGTGTCCTGGATCTTCAGGTATTTTGGGTTTCTGATACTCTGTGTTTTACCAGGTTCTTGCTGGTTCCTTTACTCCTTTGTTACCTATTCTTGAAGGCAATGTACCTTCTCCACTTTCTCTCCTGGCACAGTTCCCTCTCGTCACTCACTGCAGAACTTTCCAACTTCTGTAGTCTTTTTTCAGAGCCACACATGAACTTTTCATTGACTGAAGGTCATAACTGACTTGGAGAGCAGATGGAGTGTGAAAGGATGAACCTTTGCCACCCACCGAGCATTAACACTTGCTTATTTGTTACATCTGTCCACTGCAGCTCAGAGGCTCCTGAAATGTTTTACCCAAGTGATTTAGGACTTGCTATAGGGCTGAGTGCAAATGTTGTCTGTGAAAGCAGTGTTGTTTTTACCTTTTTACTCAGGCTGAATGTCCAGTGGGCTTTGGATGGCTATTAACTCCACTTGCTTAGACTCTAAAAGGCACTGTGAGTGTGTTGAAGTGCTGCTGCAATAATTTTTTTTAAAAGAGCAACATTGAGACAGCTCTGAATGCAAAATGTGAATGTTTTAAAGGCACAAATACATTCAGAATTTCCATTTATTTCATACAACTGTGTATTTCTCACCCATGAGACCAACTGCACATAGCATTGGACTTTGGGACTTTCAGAGAAGGTGGAATAAGAATAGTTTGTCTTCATATCACCAGCTCCAAGTGAAGGGCATTTCAGCCATGTAATCAGTGGGGAAATTTATGACCCTTTTTCTTCTGCCCTCTGTTTGTGGTGAGATACCTGTGTCTTGTATTTCTGAAGTAGCTCTCTGAAACATGCTTACTGGAGACTGATGTGACACTATATCAGGAGTTATTCCTGTGTTTTTCTAGACCCTCCCCTGGATTTAGGTATTTGTACTTGAAGTTGTGACCAATTGTATTTCAGTAAGAAATTAGACAGTTCAGTATTAAACTCTCTAGATCAGGAAACAGAAAAATGGTATTATGTACCTTGAAAAAAAAGCAGGGAATGAATAGGTGGCTTCTTGTACCAACTGAATCTTAGCAGAATATGCAATATAATTATCCTTGTTACTTTGCGCTTAAAATTAGAAACATATAAACTTCATGGAACATAGTTTATTGGCCTGATCCAAGGTCTATTGACAAGGGGGAGTCCTGCTAAGTTGCTTTAGGGCTCATGCCTTCAAGGACAAAATTCAAGAAGAGTAGTTCAGAGGAATACTGTCATGTGTATATTAATCCTAAATACGATGTAAGGAAGTTCTAAACAATACAAATGGAAATTTATATATATGTGCAATTTTTTTCCAATTTATCAAATTAAGGCTGTGCTGAGCATCCTTGCTGCAATCAGAATGGGTGAGCAAATCACAGAAGAGCTTGTCTTTTGTTCAGAAGCTAATCTTTATTCCACATGTGTCCTAAACGATTTTAAGTAACTGGCTCAGGCCATAAAAAGCTAGCCAGATCAAGTCATAATGACACATTTCCAACCTTACTTCAGATTCTGTGAAAGGATGACTCTGCTAGGATATAACCAGCATGCCTTTCTGGTTTTCTGCAGGTTGAGACACGGCAATTCTAAAGACATGCATCGGAGGCACGCCACCCTTCGGGAGAAGGGCCGGCGCCAGGCCATCCGGGGCCCTGCCTACATGTTCAACGAGAAGGGCACCAGCCTCACCGCAGAGGAGGAGCATTTCCTCGATTCTGCAGAATATGGCAACATTCCTGTTGTGCGAAAAATGCTGGAGGAATCCAAAACCTTGAACTTCAATTGCGTCGATTACATGGGACAAAACGCCCTCCAGCTGGCCGTAGGCAATGAGCACCTGGAAGTGACAGAGCTGCTCCTCAAGAAGGAGAATCTCGCCCGAGTCGGGGACGCGCTGCTGTTGGCCATCAGCAAAGGCTACGTGCGCATCGTGGAAGCAATACTGAACCACCCCGCCTTCGCACAAGGCCAGCGCCTCACGCTCAGCCCTCTCGAGCAGGAGCTGAGGGATGATGACTTTTACGCGTACGATGAAGATGGAACTCGGTTCTCCCATGACATTACCCCCATCATACTTGCTGCCCACTGCCAGGAGTATGAAATTGTTCACATCTTACTTCTAAAAGGTGCGCGGATTGAAAGGCCACATGACTATTTTTGCAAGTGCAATGAATGTATGGAAAAGCAGAGGAAAGACTCCTTTAGTCACTCTCGCTCAAGAATGAATGCCTACAAAGGATTAGCCAGTGCTGCTTATTTGTCTCTGTCCAGTGAAGACCCTGTCCTTACTGCTCTAGAGCTTAGCAATGAACTGGCCAGGCTAGCCAACATTGAAACTGAATTTAAGGTAACTCACCACTGTGCCTTTTTCCTTGGGCTGAGAGCGTTCAGGCTATTGAGTAGTTTATGTGTTTGATCAAATTTTGGGCTGCTGTTTGAGAGGTGGGGGAGTAAAACTGGCAGAGACTGCCAGATGTGTTAGCTATGCATAGATTCAGATCGCTGTCATTCTCCAGTTAATAAATGCTTGGAACTGAACATTGCCTATTACAGCAGAAGCTTAAGTTTCTGTGTTGCACACTGTGATTGCTTAGAATCTCTAGTTTGCAGCAGGAATAAAAATTAGATTATTCAAAAAATGGAGACTCATTTTTTGTAAGAAAGGTAAGTCTTTTAATTGAGCAATCTATTTTAGAGGCAGAGTTCTGGAGACTGTTTTAAGAATCCAGTACATCTAGTTCTGCTACAATGATAAAAGGTATAAATCAAGTTTTGATTGTCTGTAAAATAATTTAAACTGCATTGCATCTTTATGGTTTGGTGCTGCATCTATACATTATGAATTGCATGAAAAAGGAAAAGAGAAGCAATCAATAAATAGCTATGAAGTTTATCATCATGCCAAACATAAGAGTAGAGCTTGTGGAAGTCTCTTACAAGTTATTTGAGATTTCCATTATCATAATGAGTTTGTAAATGTCCAATGCCATTTGCAGTATTTCTGTATGTCATTTACATGATGTAAAGAGCATTGTCTCCCTTTCTAATATAAATTAGTAATTAAACCCCTCATTTTCAGTGGCTCAGCCATCAACATTAGAATTTTTTCTGACTTATGGCTATTGTGGAGCTACAATCAGGATCAGTGACTCTGGTGTAATAAAGTCCACGTTGTGAGTACACTGGGGCAGGATGCTCACCAGGAATCCTTTATTTCTAATTAAGAAAACTATTCATGTGTTAAAGCATCTGTTTCAGGGTTTGTAGCTCTATACTACAAAGGACTGGGGAGGAGATCATCCCCACCCTGCACCAGACACTGGTGGGGCTGCCTTGAATCCCAGGTTCAGTTTTGAGCCCCTCACTCCAAGAAAGACTTTGGGGTTCTAGAGCAGGTCCAGAGAAGGGCAACAGAGCTGGGGAAGTGTCTGGAGCAGACGTCTGATGAGGAGCAGATGAGGGAGGTGGGGGGGGCTGAGCCTGGAGAAAAGGAGCCTCAGGGGGCACCTTCTCAGTCTCTACAGCTCCCTGAGGAGGTTGTAGCCAGGTGGGGGTTGGTCCTTTCTCACAGATAACAAGCAACAAGAGTAACAGCCTCAAATTGTGGATGTTAGGAAAAATCTCTTCACAGAGAATGGGGTCAAACCCTGGAAGAGGTTTTCCAGAGCTGTGTCACCATCCCTGAAGGGATTTAAGAGAAGGGTAGATGTGTCACTTGGGGACATGGTTTAGTGGTGACCTTGGCAGTGCTGTGTTTAAAGCTGGATCTTAGAGGGCTTTTCCAACCTAAACAGTTATATGAATCTCTGCTCTCCAATTTAAAAGTAAGAAGAAAACATATTCTCAGGCTTTGCAATCCTTTAGTAACTCTAACAGGAAAAAAATTCCCAAACCACTGAAATCTTTCTGGCAATAAAATCAGAGTAAAATTTTGCAAACTTTTTTGCCCATGTGCATCAGAATGCAAGGATACAATAATTTGAGAAGTTTTATTTGGATTCAATCTGACTAAAGCAAACTCCTTGGGCTCAGTGAATCCAGCTGTTTGAGTGAGGGTTGCTCCAGTGTGAAAGCACTGGAGGCTCATGCCCACACTTAACAACAATAATATCTCATTAATGCTCCAGCTTCTTTTCACAGACAACTGTATGTTGAGAGGAGCATTAGCAGCCTCAAGCATGGCATGCCTGTCAGTCCTGATAAGTGTCCTGCTGCAGAAGAGTAAATCTATTTCTACCAGAATCCTTCCATTTGTTCCTGGAGCTGCCAGCGGGGTTGGTACTGGCACTGGCAGGTGCACGAATCCTCCAGGAGCAAACCAACAATCCAATATTGAAGAGCTCCACAGAGGTCATACCTCTGCACTGGCAAATGGATGGCAATAAATCAATACCAGGAAAAACACCAAAACATTAGAAACCATTGGGCAAATGACTGCATTTCCAGGTTTTCCAAGTTCATTGTCTTATTGGAAGGGTCTGTGCAGCAGACATCCATACATGTTAGTGAAGTACCTACCCATAGCATTAGTTTGCTTCAAAGATTTCACATTCCTTTAGTATATTAATTCTTCCAGAAATAAGAAATTTCTCAAGATTCTAATGTATTCTCACTGTAGCAAAAAAAAACTCAGAGGTATGTATTTATGTAAAAATATTTATTCTTATTAACATAATCAGTGTGATGTGAAATAGGGTATTAATAAAACAGTGGGGGATTTTTCACAGAACATGACAATTTAATAATTTATTTTCAGGAAAGAACACAATTGCTGAAAAAGTATTTAGAAGCCCACAAATTAAGAAAATTTATTAAATTAGCCAAGTTCTAGAGAGTTTTTTGTGACTAAAATAGAATTTTCCCAGAATCTTAATATGTTTGATTCCTGAAGTTCTATAATTAAAACTGGCACTCAACAGATTTATAAAATGATCACTTGGGATTATTCAAGAACATTACTTAAAAATTATGTGCAATTGCAGAAATGCAGTTTTCAGGAGGTACGAAGAGTCCTTGAAATGGAAAGACACAAAATTTTAATAATGTAGGTGGACAAATAGTAATTTAGTAACCTCTGAAGAAACTGCTAGCATGAGCTAATTAAAATATAAATGCAGTGCTTCTCGCCTGCTGCTTGCTGCCCCAAATCTCTTATGCAATAGCACCTTTCAGCACATCAAAATGAGAAGCCAATACATGTGCTATTTTTTTAGAGAACATGAGATTTTTAAAACAAGTTGCCTCTTTGTGCAGAGAAATGTGAAACAAAACAGCCACATGGACCACTTTAAAGAAGAAAACTTGTGTTACCTGTGGTAGGCCAGTTTATCCATTATTTTGGTTTTTTGCTGTGGCAGAAGCTGAATAGATTTTTATCACCCTAAATTGCTAAGATTCAGTAACATGCTGCAAAGCTGATGAAACAGCTTTGCAAAATGTTGCCAGAAACCAAGTTTTCTTACTAACTGTATAAAAAAAATTGCTATGAAATATGTAGTCCATTAGTCTAGAAATAAATAAGGCCCCTTCCCCAAATAAAATGAAAAATACGGAACCGGTTGTTTCTATGAAAATACTATGTAGAATTTTCTATGTAGAAATGGTTGGGTGGGAAACCCCCAAGAGATGGATTTCACAAGAGAGAGAAGCAAACATCAGAGTCCCTGTGTATGTTTGCAGGTCTTTATACAATGATATTGTCCTGTAGTGGAGGCAGCCCAAGTTAGAAAAAAAGTAACCTTAATTGAGTGCTTTGTCATTTATGTATATCCCACTTGAAAGCTCAAAATTAAGAACCAGTTCATGACTTTCTTTCTCTTTCTAGTTTTAATTTTATGTTTTAAAATACCAAACCAATATCCACTGGAGCAAAGGCAGTACAGGCTTGGGGTCTCATTTAGTCCAGTGGATGGGTCCCTTCTTCTGCATCATCCTTGGAAACACAGAGAAAGGGAGGATCCCATGTGGATTGAAGGGTTCCAAGTGACCATGCTTCTGCAGAGTGTAGGAAAAACTGAGTAGGAAACTGAGGGACACATCAATTAAAAAATCAAAAGTACAATTAAAACAAATATAGGACAAGGCTAATGTGCTTTGTAATTTTCCATGAAAGGTGGAGAACAGATGTTAGGCTAATGATTAATATGTGAAGCTGTTTTGAGGGAGAAAGCATTTATCGTCAGTCTAGCAGAGCTAGGATCCCCCCAGTCCACACAGGAAGAATTCTCCCCTCTCATTCTTCCTTTTTTGCAAAAAAACCCCATCTCTGTACATTCCAATTCTGCCATCTACCAGAGGATTCTGTTTGTTTTGCTCATATAAATAAGTCTGATGTCACTTGCAGTATGAATACCATGGCCAGGATTTGTCCATCTGAACCAGTCATCACCCCTGAGCCAGGCTGATGAGAATTGCTCTCTTCTTTGGTCCAGAGAAATCCATCTCCCTCGTGGCAGCTTGGTGTGAAAGCATATGCAGATGTCTGCACAGTCACCAGCTGTTCACAGCCAGGTGACTCGTTTCCAAGACTGGAATATTAAAAGCAGTGTCAACAGAATCATTTATATATGTCTATCAAAAGCCTTAGGAGACTGAATTTCTAGCAAACAGCCTGCAGGAAATGCCTTTGCAACTGTCTTTAATAGCAGCATCAGCTTAATATTAATGTCCACAATGTGGAAACTGAGTGAAACCCAGAATAATAGTTCTGTTTACTTTTCCTAAAGCAGTGACTGTGTACTTTTTCTAGTGAGATGCAGAGCCAGGACTGTTTTGCTGCCTTGCACGCTCTCAAGTTAGACCACATGCTTGTGTGTGTCAGGAAGTATCCTTGTGATGAAGTAAATCAGGCAAATCATTACATTTAGCAATCCAGACAAATCAAATTAGAGACTCGCAAAGGAGGCTTAGGAAAGATCTCACCAACCATAAGCAGTAAATCAGATCTCAGCTCCTCTTGACTAAATTGTTACTAAAATCAAGATCAAAATCCCCACCTGGAAGACATATGGTGTGTGGTCTTTGTTTACTGCTCCCACCAACATTGTCAGTGCAATTACTACAGCAAAACATGTTTTGTTTCTCACTTGTATGTTTCTTACTCTCTCTTTTCCTCTAAAACACTTCCTCTAAAAGCTTTTGGGATCCAAAAGGAGGTCCTGGCAGTGAGCCTGCTCTCATGGGCAGGTGAGCATCAGGCCCAGGCTCAGCTGGCTGGGGGCCTGTGAGTGGCTGTGGGATGGGAGGCTGGTGGGGCAGCCAAGTGTGTGGATAACTGCAGGGATGAGCCTGCTGGAACTGCCTCTGGTTCCATTGGGGCTGCAGGGATGCAAAGCAGCTGAGGCTCAA